TTTTTTTTTTTTTTTTTTTGCTCTCCTGAGGCTTGAACTTTGGGCCTGGGCGCCATCCCTGAGCTTCTTTAGCTCAAGGTGAGTACTCTACTTGAGCCACACTTGAGCCACAACACTACTTCTGGCTTTTTTGAGTAGTTTATTGGAGATAAGAGTCTCATGGAGTTTCCTGCCCAGGCTGGCTTTGGCCTGCAACCCTCAGATCTCAGCTTCTGGAATAGCTAAGATTACAGGCATGAGCCTCCAACAACTGGACTCTTGTATGTTCTCAATAAGCAATGGTAACATCCCTTTACTACCTTTACTTCTCCTAATTTCATAATCTTCCCCCAGTCTATGGTTCTATAGTATAGAGGAGAAAGATGGGAGGTACAGAAAAACTCTGACTTAATCATACATCAAATACCTTCCCTTTAATAACAAGAGAACAACTCAGTAACTTTATGTTTACTTCTGACTGATCTCAGCCCCCATTTCCTTAGAATCCACTTATTCTCTCCTCCTTTCCTCCCTCCTCTTCTTCAACACAAGAGCACTGTGTACAAGGTACTTTGAATGCAATAGTAAATTAACTATTACCTTTCATCTATTCATTCATAAGGCATAATATCCCTAGAGCAATTGCTATATGAAGGCGGTGCTAGCTTACAGAAACTAGAATATAGGTAAGGCCTAGCAGGGGGTGGGAATTCAGAGTAGGTTTTTCTGGGAATGATATTTAACTGAGATATGACAAAGGTTAGAACTAAGCTGAGAAAAGGGGCAGAGAGGAGTAGGGTGAGTAAAGAGTTAGTTTTGGAAAATGAATGCAATTGGCATTATGACACAGAATTTTTCAGGATATCTAGGGAACTTAGTAGCAAGCCAATTTGATCTAATTTTACTGGCATTTATACAAATCTTCAAACTAGCAAAACTAATGAGGTCTAATATATATTTTGGGGAAGTTAAGAAACATTGATGTTTGCAAAGGAAAACATCTATGTGGGACTCTTCTATTCCAGGTGCTTTCTACTGGAGTCTGTATTACAAGTATTTCATTACATTTCTACTGAGACCAATTTAAATGTACACATTTTCAATTTGTTAACAGAAAGATGAAATATAAAGTTGAACCTTAAACATGAAAAATGTGCCATATGAGAAAATTTGATTTGTAATACAGACTCATGCTATTATATTTTAATTCTATGTTAATGCTATTTAGAATTTGTATCAGTGCTTTTTTTACCTGAAGATTCAAACCGTTTTGGCATCATCATTTGGAGTTTCAGACTGTGCAGCTGATAAAAACAGACATAAATAAATAAAACCAGAATACTTACAAAAGCTTGATAGGACCTCAGATCTTTCTAGAAGTATGACTACAATTAAGTGGTAGTTCTGCACAAACTAACAAGGAAGGCATGAGCTAATATTGGAGAGTGGCAATTATATATTTATATCACTATGGACAGTAGATTCGAACCATATTGGATTTGAAGGAAGTTAAAAACTGAACAGTACCTATTCGATCTAGTCGGTCAATGGCAACTGTCTCGAAAGCTCTCCTCATCATTGGGTATTCTTCTAGGACCTCATTGAAATTGTCCACAGAAAGGGAATAAAGACGACAGTACGTATCAGCACGGACACTGGCAGTGCGGCGTCCCTTGGTCAGCAGGCAAATCTCTATTAAAAAAGAAAAAGAATGGCTATTGTTTTGCAATATGTTCAGGCATTTTATCATTAATGACACCTTATCATGTGGAAAATCCCAGCGTTTAGCAACATGACAATTAAATGTCTTCAATTGTCAGTACCAATTGAAGAAAAGAATATTCATTTTTTGAGCATTTAAGATTTCAGGTTTAGGAAGGAAGACATATATTCTTCCTCTCCCACTCCAATCAGTCTGAAATAGCAGGAACTAAAAGAGATGAATTAAAGGAAACTTTAAAATCCACACGGGAGTTCCAAAAAGGAAGGGTTATAATCAGACAGACGATTTCCTGAATTCTGGAGAGCAAAAAGCAGATGGTATGATATAGAAAGAAAAGAACATAAGTCCAAACATTGGCAATGAAAAGATCTATGACCATGCAAAACTGGAAAAGAGGCTCAGATAAATATAGTCTATATATTGCCACTGAGATCAGAATGAAGGAAATTATAAGTCAAACGTAAAAAAGCACTATATTAACATCTAAGAAGAGTTCTTTGGTGAAATTTACATTCTCAAAATATAGTAAATGAACATTTCTAATTTGGATTTCCTTTTTTTTGCTAACTAAAATCTACAAGATATAATTTTTCCAGCTCAATTTTTTAAGTTTTATGAACTAAATCAAATTCCTCCAGGCTTGGAAATTTTAAACTTGGAAATGCTTAAGAAATTATATTGAACATTACCAATTTAAAAATGGTAAAATAATTTCTAAAATTTATAGTTCCCTTACAAAAACAGCAAAACAATAATTAAATATCTAAATTCATATTTTTCTAAACTTACTTTGTTGAGTAGAAATTATATACACATATTAAAGGATATATATATATATATATATATATATTTTTTTTTTTTTGGTCAGTTGTGAGGCCTGAACTCTGGGCCTGGGCACTGTCCCTCAGCTCTTCAGCTGAAGGCTAGCACTCTACCACTTGAGCTTCAGCCGAAGTTCCGGCTTTTTTTGCTTATGTGGTGCTGAGGAATCGAACCCAGAGCCTCATGCATGCAAGGCAAGCATTCTACCACTGAGCCACCTTGCCAGCCCGGGATTTTTATATTTTCAAATTGTCTCCTCAGTACTAGTTGTATCTTGCTCTCTGGTTTAAGATTATTTGAAGACAGTAATGATTCATTTGTATTATTTTATCCCCAACAGTGCCTTTTACAGAAATCCTGAGCCCAAGCAAAATGATGTAACAGTCTTTAAATATGCAAATGATAGTATGCAAACTCAAGATTAACAGGAAGTTCTATACTTAAAATCTTAAGATTTAGATAATAGAATATCTCTTGCTAGATAGCTCTGTGTTTTAATGATACTTGCCAAATGTTTCCTGTATTTCTTTAAGCAGTATAATATATATTTCTAAGGCTTTTGTGAAGTTATAATGAAATATTAGAGTTTTTGGAATTTTTTTCTTTCCTTTAAGAAATGTTACTTTAAAGGTGATACACAGAGTGGTTACAGTTACATAAGTAAGGTAATTAGTACATTTCTTTTCAGACAGTTTTACCCCCTCCCCCTTCCCCACTTTCTCCCGTGTTCCCTCTACCCCTCCTGTGCTCCCCCCAAGTTGTAAAGTTAATTTCCAGCATAGTGTCTTGTGACTATCACTGAACGGTTTCATTGGCTCACCCTTTGTCCTTCATATTGTATAAATCTTTCACTTTTTTTTTCTTTTTCAATAGAGATATGCACTTAGAATTAAAATGAGTTTTGGGTGCCCAGGCAGTATTCACAAAAGATATAAAATAGAATTTATGGAGAAAACTAAGTGCAGCTTACAGATATAAGCTTTCAAAAGAGTACCATTGCATATTTTCTAGAACCAGTTTATTCTGATCTTTTTACTTTTCTTTGTTCACATTTTTGAAAAGTTGAGCTAGGAATTTTGTAGTAGTGTATTCACTTCTGTAAGAACCTTAGTGCAAATTTGCTTAGTTGTATGCTCATTAACCAATATATTATATTATAATCACCAAATCGACAAACATTTCACAATACAATTAAATGTGTGAATAATGAGACGTGTATATATTAAATTCCATTTGTTCAAGTGTTTTTTCAGTTTCCTTTACAGTGCTTTGTGCTAGTAGTGGATATGCATGGTTATTGTCCCGTGGCTTTTTCACTCAAGGCTGGCAATCTACCACTTGAGCCATATCTCTCCTTCTAGCTTTTTGGTGGTTAACTGGAGATAAGAAACATACAGATTTTCTTGTCCTTTGCTGGCTTTGAACCATGATCTTCAGATCAAAGCCTCTTGAGTAGGTAGGAATTCAGGCATGATTCCCTGATGCCCAGATTTACAGTGACTTTTTGAAACGTCTAACAAGCTATTTCACTTGGCTAAGAAGAAACTGTCAGTAGTTTACCCTGTCAAAGGCACATAAACACACACACACACACACACACACACACCTGTTTTCTCAATTTTGGCATCAGAAACCATGAGGCCTGGGGGATTGGATTTGGCCTACCACACTATGTCTACTTTCAATAATCATAGGTATGTGATATATCATCTCTGCCCAGTGCTATTTTTACTGATATTCATTAACCCTGATTGTAAACATTGAAGTTCACTTGACTTTGCTGTCACCTATATAAGCAGTTATTTTACAAGGTAAAGCAAATAGCTTCAAGCATTTTACAACTCAGAAGTATTTTCCTGACCTCCAAAACAGCTTGACATTGACAGAGTTTATCAGAAACTTGTGGCAGAAATCTCTAGTATGTTCATCTCAAGTTTCTACAGTTCTTGGTAAAACCTGTCCACAATTTCTCATTGTAACCTAAGCATGATGATTCCTTCTTTATATCCAATACTGTGCCACAGAATTTCACATTTCAGAGAAATTTCTTGGGTTCCTAATACAGTGTCCTTAGCATCATTCAAGCAAATACTCAAATTTGATTTTCCTGCCATATTTGTACTTGTATTTTTTACATATTCATTGCAGTGGACAAAAAATATTGCATCTGGGTGGCAATGGAGATAGTAATATCTGCCTTAAATAATTTACATATCAAACTCAACTTCTGGAAGTATTCTTGGTGTTAAATGAATTTGATTTGACTTTAAAGCATTTTACATACCACAGATTATAAAATAAATATTGATTATGTGGTATCTGTTGTGTTTATACATTTAGTGTTTTGTATAATTTTCTCATAATGGATATTATAAAAGAGTGATTATAAGCACGCACAATATGTATATGTGAACATATATGTATGTATATGTATATATGTATAAGTGTGTATGTATATGTATACATGTACGTATACATATACATACATATACATATATATATGGCCATCATGTTTGCAATATTTACCACTTACCATAGACTTATACATATACATAATATATGTATATGTATGTATATGTATACGTACATGTATACATATACATATACGTATACATATACATACATAAACATATATATGTATATATGTATATATAGAGAGAGAGACAGAGAGAGAGAGAGAGAGAGAAAGGCACAACAAGAAAGTGCCTTTCTCTAAAGTTATAACTGGTCATTTCAATACAAATACATATGGTCCAATTTACAGTTACTTGTCCTCTCTTCTATTTATGTTAACTATTATTTGTGATTTTCTGGTCATGTCACCTTAGCACCTTTATAGAAAATCTTTCCTATCCCTGCAGGTTTAATCATTTCTACTAAAACATAAATTGGAGAGCTCACCTGGGGCTCTGAATATTGATCTAGAAGTCTCACCTCGGACCAGCTGCATATTGGTGAAGTTGTCATGTGGATAACTAGAATAGTGCCTATGAAAGCCTTGCAACAGTCTAGGATATTTTGGGTCCTTAAAAAGTATTAGTTTCTTTCCATTTCTCTTTCTACTCTTTCTTGTCTCCTTTAAATTCTGTGTGATCTGGGCTTACCCTGACAGAGCTAAGGGAAAAGTAATGCGTCATATATCAAGCAGCCTTGTAAGTTGTCCTCATAAATAATTTTCTCATAAGCAAACCATGCCAGTTCCTTATACTGAGTCATAAGTAAGATGGCCGCACAGCACTGTGAGGCCATTTTTAAAAACTGTCCCAGGAGGATTGTCTTTGTGCTCATTTTCTACTTTGACGGCCTTGCATCTTAGCTCCTACTGTGCATTGTTGAACTTACTTGCATATATTTCTCTATACAAATCATAAAGTGATTAAAGCTAAGTATGGACATCATGTTTGCAATATTTACCACTTACCATAGACTTATATAGATAATGTTTGGTTGTAAAATATGGACCAAGTGAGTCAATAAATATAAAACAGAATATCTTATTCCAGATCATACAAATTTTCCATCAATATTCCTAAGACCCACATTTTTTGTATTTGTTTTTGAGAAGCAGCTTTGGCCTTATTTTCTAGAAGTTACGATGTCTCCTACTTTGTTTAACTTGATTATAAACATGTTTAGGAATTTAGGTGATTTCTTGTTCTTCAGTTCCTTTGTGTTTCTTTAAGTAGTCTCATGCTTATAAAATTATACTTAATCTATAGTTACACTACTTACCTTTGGCATATTAAATTACTTGATAGACTTTATCTGAGGATAACTACTGGTTAGAAAAAAACACTTCTAGCCTCATGTTAACACATATGTTAAACACAGAAGATTTAAATCTGTATGTGATTGGGATAAAAGTCACATAAAAATATTAAAGCTAAGAAAGAAAAAACCACAGTTTTCTTGCTTCTATCCAACTTTAAAATCCAGCCAGATTATTTCGTATTTTTCCTTTTTATTTTAAATCAGCGCTCAAATCTTTAAAAGTTAATCAAACACCTTTAATTATAAATGTCTTTAAAAAGCAGCCAGGCTTTTAAAAAATTCATCAAATGATTTCAACTCTTAGATACCTCATTTTTTTTGAAGTGATATCTTGACAGCTGTTTTCCTTGGTGGCTTAATATACTTGCATAAAATG